TTCTATTAGCATATATAATTCGGGTATTTCATTTACACCAAACAACATAAGTGACCACTACGGGACTTACATTTTTATCAAATTCGAAAAAGAGACTTTAAAATCATACAAACGCCGAGTTTGGAATTACAAAAGAGCGGATTTCGTCAATCTTAATAACCTAATTCTTAATTATGATTGGGCTTTTCTTTTGTCATGTTCTGTAGATGATGCTTGCGAAAATTTTACATCAGTACTTACTGAATTAGCAAAATGATGCATACCAACAAATTATGTAACTATTCGTCAATATGATCGACCTTGGTACGACTCGGAAATACGGCGATTTTCAAGAAAAATAGATAGAACGAAAAAAATCGCTATTAGAATTAAATCTGTTAATGACTGGAGCCATTTCAAACACTTACGCAAAAAAGTTAATAATCTAAACAAGAACGTGTTTGTTATGCACAAATGCCCCCGGCTCCGATTCTTGTCAGTAGCAATATTTCAAAAAATGTTTACCCATTCACTCAGTTATAGAAAAAAACATTGCCAAAAAATTCTAAACACAAGTTGTATAGCTTGACAGAGTCATGGCATTTTGTAATTGTGAAATATATAAATTGCCAAGTCATTGCTATGACTTGTGAAGTGATAAATATTCAACTTTATCAAATATATATAAATGTTAGAAATCTATAATTGGCACCCTTGACCTTGACCCAATGACACCTAAAGAATATCATGCAAGTTATCTTCCTACCAAATATGAAATACACCTGTCAATAAATAAAGGTTGTATGGGCAAAAATGTTACAATCTTTTTTGAGCATTGATGACCTTGATCAAACTGACCCCTAACTCCATCCAAAGGAAGAATACCGTGCAAGTTATCTTCCAACCAAATATGAAATAAATCTGTCAATAAATAAAGGCTGTATTGGCAAAAGTGTAAAAATCTATTTTTAGCACTTGTGACCTTGACCTAACTGACCCATAACTCCATCCAAAGTAAGAATAACATGCAAGTTATCTTCCTACCAAATATGAAATATATCTGTCAATAAATAAAGGCTGTATGGGCAAAATTGTACAAATCTATTTTAGCACTAGTGACCTTGACACACTGATCCCTAACTCAATCAAAAGGAAGTATACCATGCAAATTATCTTCCTATCAAATATTACCCAATTTCACTATCCAATCACAAGAGGCTAAAGGTATTCTTGCAAATTTAATTTTAAATGAAGCAACAAGGCCTGACGAAATTAGCCATCAAATTTTGAAAGAAACGCGAAAATGTATTTGTTATCCTCTTAGTGTACTTTTTAATAGATCACTCCATGAAGAATCATATCCCAGTTCCTGGAAACTTGCAAAAGTAATGCCCCTTTTTAAAAAGGGTGACACCCACATCCCCTCCAATTATAGACCTATATCACTAATAAGCTGCATTGGGAAAGTCATGGACAAGATAGTATTTAAACATATATAACCATTTGCATTGTAATAAATTGATATATCCGTTACAATCAGGGTTTCTTCCGGGCCATTCGACAATTTTTCAACTAATCGACATGTATCATCAAATTTGCGAATCAATTGACAAAAAACAATCTACTTTCATTGTATTTTGTGACATATCAAAAGCGTTTGATAGGATTTGACATTCGGGTTTACTTTTCAAACCGAAACAATATGGTATAAAAAATGAACTTCTTACATGGATCGAAAATTAACTATCTAATAGTAAACAATATGTTTTTGTTGGTCCTGAATGTTCTGAAGTGCTAAAAATATTAGCGGGTGACTACAGGGCTCGGGCCTTGCTCCCCTTTTATTTCTTGTATATACTACTGAAAGAAAAAAGTTTAGCAAGTTTTTCACACCTATTATTTTTTTCTTGTTGAGCTTTCGAATGAAGACGTTTTTATATGTAAATGATGTACTTATCGATGCTCTTTACACATCTGTTGTGTTTGTTCGAAAACTGTGTATTTTATCAGCGAAGCGTAAGAAACTCGAAAATCACGTGCAACGTAAGCACGGCAATTTCGGTAGCATGTAGAGTCGAGTTATGTAATGTCATTGTTTTGAGCTGTTACCACAAACAAAATAGCCAGTTTAAAACTCGAAGAAATTCCAATGGGGAGTCGCCAAGGAATGACGTTAGAAGAACGTCAAAGAGCTGTAGGTATGCTCCACGCTGGTATGACGGCAAGAGCTGTCGCTCGGCATTTCAATCGCCATGAGTCTACAATTAGTCGCCTTAGAAACCGCCTGAGGCAAACTTCTCCCCTGGCCTGCAAGATCGCCTGATCTCTCACCGATTGAACACTTATGGGACCATTTAGGTCGTCGTGTAAGAGAGAATCATGATTTGTAGCATGAGACGTCGGTGTTTAGCAGTATTAGCTTGTAACGGGGGTCACACTAGATACTGAACTCCTTGTGAATTTTAACGCCTTACCCCTAACGTCTTTCAGGCTGTACAGTGAGCTAAGGCAACAGGGTTTTGACAATTTATTGTTACAAACTAATCGAAAACTAAATGCATTATTCAATTATGTACTTGGTTTAAGTCAAATTGGTATAGTTTCAATAAATCAGTGAAATATTTCCGAACTTGCTAAATTTTTTTCCCTAAGAACGATATTGCTCAAAATCATCTAAGCGTAACAGGACGTTTTGCTGACGATAGCTCTTTATCCGTTTCCTCTAACGATCTAAATTACATTGAAAGTACTCTTAACTCCGACCTTGAAAAATAGATAAATGGTCTAAACAATGGTTGATTAATTTCAATCCAAATAAAACAGAAGTTATGTTCTTCTCCTCAAAATCATGGAATCAAGCCTTCGTTATTTTTTGATAATATCTCTCTAGATTTCGTGGATAATCACAAACATTTAGGATTAACTCTTTCTTGCGACTTGAAATGGCACGAACATATTAATAATATTTCAGCTTCGGCATCAAAAGTATTAGGCTCTATGCGTGCTAAAAAATTCCAACTCAAAAGATCTACTTCAAACCAAATTTATATGCGTCCGATACTTGAGAAGGCATCAATTGTTTGGGATGGGTGTGCTGAATATGAAAAACAACCACTTGAGCAATTACAATACGAAGCCGCTAGATTTATTTCTGGTGCAACTCGGTCAGTATCAATAGATTGCTTGGTCAAAGAAGTCGGTCGGGTCTCACTCTCTGATAGGCAAAAAATTCAAAAACTTGTAATTGTTTATAAAGCTAAAAACGGTTTACTACCGGGCTATTTATCTTCTTCGTTTCCGCCTACTGTATCAGTAACTACTTCTTATCCTTTGTGAAATAAAAACAACTATGTTACTATAGCTAGACGCACTCAATTATATAATGCATCGTTTTTACCATCCTCGTTAGAATCATGGAATAATACATATTTTAAAGTTTATATGCATATTAAAAGTAATCATTGTTGCCTTAAGGTATGAGCCCCATAATGGGCACTATAAAGAACTATAAAATTGACAACATATGTCAGTTATATACCTTAAAAGACACAAGAATGCAAAATTTAAACAAAGTTTACCGTATGGTTTACGAGTTATGGAGATTTTTAATAAGTAAAACTTGGCTATTAGAAGGGCTCTTTTTCAAAAATGAGAAACTCTTAATATTCTGTTATATAATCATTATTAAAAATGTTTTCCTATAGAACATATTTTAAGAAACAAATAATAGCGTTTAGCTAACAAATGACCTAGCAAAATTATTGTTTATACTCAAAATGTTTGAAATATGTATATAAATGTTACCCTACCCCACCCATTTTAAGTAGTTGTTTGATCATTTTTCTACTTGGAGGGCCTTATTCAAAATATCCCTAAAATTTTCTCAAATTCGGACCTGTTTTCAAAGTTTGCATAAATTTTCTTATTAGTATATTGGTTGTGCTTGTCAAATATAAAATAATTTTACCGTCTAGTTTTTATTTTATTAGACTTTGAAAATATCAGGTACCATATTTGATAATACACTTGGCACAATTTAGCAAATAAATACCAATAATTTCATATTTAAAAATGAAACACTTTTTTCTTCTCAAGAGTGATCTGAGAGACACAAATAATGTTCAAAGAAAAAAAAAGAAAGAAAAAAAGTTGCCTCTTCTGGGGCTTGAACCCGCGCCCCTCAGTTACAATGCAGTTGACAGTAGTTCTAGCCTATTTGAATACTCTTCAAAGTGGAGGTAATGCATTTGGTGGATCATACCTTAATAGTATTTTCTTCTGATATATTAATTTCTGGGAAGGGCTGAATCTAATGTTGTGAGAACTTGTTGCCCAACCCATTTGCATTTTTATATATACTCATTATTTGTATAATATGTTTGTAAACATGTATTTAATGCAATAAAATATGTTTAAACTTAATTGATTTTCACATGTGTTGTATTACACAAACGTCTATGCGATACATGTACAAAGTTCGTGCAAAACATAGTTAAAAGCGGGGTATTGGCCTAGTTGCATTCATATTTTAACACCCCTCGTAAACCTATAAGCAAACAAAACTGAACACCGTAGTCTAACACATGAATATTAGAGCTAGAATAAAGGGTTATTCCATTTTTGCCATGCATTTACATCTGCAGAAACACGAGGACTCATTGAAGGGTTTGTGCAGTAGTTAGATATGCAAAAAGGTGCATTAGTGCTATTCTTGTTTTTCCGCATTTCGTTATCTATTTTTGTATAACTAAACACTCTGTTCATACTTTATATGTGCTAGTGCAGTGTCATTTGACAGTTAATAGTATGTTATGTTTAAATTATGAGACTACCGTGACAATCATTGCAGTAATCTATTTTTACATCAATTATATTTGAGGAAAATGCAACAATATTGGTCACGTAAATCTCTCCATTAATGCATGTCTTTTTTTTTCTCCATTAATGTTATTCTATGCAAGAATATGCAACAGCTTTGCAAGTTTGTGAATGGTGAAAAAAATGATTAAATTTTATTACAGATAACGTGATTGTTCACGAGTTTGGTCATCTACGGTATGGCTTATATGATGAGTATCCAATTTCACATGATAATTCCCAATTTTACCAGTACGAAGGGGAGTGGAAACCAACAAGGTTTGTATGCTTGTGAATGAAAAGTTACTTTTGAAACTTTATTAAAGAGATACGGCGCTCAAATCATTAATTCTCAGTCTAGTTTTTTATCCTCACTTCTTTTTTATTTTAAATCACCAGATTGTACTACATTAACAGTTACTATTAAAAAAATCAAGGAATAATGAAAGATGTTTGACTTTTTTTCGCTTTGCTGCCAGTTTCCTGATGTATATTTTGTGAAATTTAGATGCACAGAGGACATGCAGGGAGAAATTGGAATTGGCAGCGATTGCACGAAAAGTGTTGCATGTGATTATAAAAATACTGGAAAGAAATTGAATAATAATTGCAACTTTTGTCCCCACCAAAATCAAGATTTAGAGGCTTCTTTGATGGGTTATCAATGGATAGATGCCGTAAGACTTTACTTTAATTACCTAAGATATGTTTTTCATAAAATTGTTTTATAAATGAGAGTACTCTACTTTGATATATTAAGTGTATTTTCCTTATATAATCATTAATTATTTTGGTATCGTTCTTATTAAAAAATACATCTTTTCATAAGTCACGTGATAGACTATACAAAAGCCATTTTTGGAGTCGTTAAGGAACTCGAATGTGTGTATAAATTCATTTGTGATGCACTTATTTGTGTATTTCTGGGTTTTCCTCTAAAGACAAATGTAGTCTTTCAATTGAAAATGAGGCTTTCATTATAAGTTTTAGGATAATATACGCAATATTGGATGCCGGTCTGAATTCTGTATGCAAACTTCATGTTGATTTCAATCTGAAAATACTCGCATGTGACACGTTGTTTGATCATAGTTATCCAAGTTCTGCGAAAGGAGTGATCCAACAACATTAAAGCATGTGAGGCACAACCGTTTTGGAAAAAGTAAACACAACAAACTATGTCGTTCCGAGAGTACTTGGGAAATAATGAGCAATCATCGGGACTTTTCAGGTAATGTTAACTTTACAACTCTAAAGAAATATAATGCTTCTTAATTTTGATATATTTCATTGCCATACATCAGTCTTATAGATCGTTCAACACGACATTATCGTTTTGCTTGTGTTGTTTTAGTTATTTCCAGTAGGCTTCTTTCTAGTTAGGTGGTTCCAGTATTCCCAACTTGATATGTGGCCTGCCTATTAAATGTGTCTTTTGACAGTTTATCTGTGATATGCAGGCTTCATAACATCTGATCCCCATTTAAAATTCCATTTTATTTTGTTCTACCCATTGTTTTCCTTTTATGGGGGCACGGAGATCATACGCCACTCTTCGTGCAATGGCCCTATCGTGTCACATTGAAGGTTCCATGATAACCGCCTTATAAACACAGCTGCGGATGTTTCATAATTCAAATTTTTCCATTTCATGGTACATGTTAAATACTGCTGAACCCGTGCTAGGGATCTAATGAACATGTTCAATTAATCCGAGCCTGCAACATGTTCAATTTTGTCGTTTCGTGCGTTCGTCAGGGATTCTTAATTTCTCTATATTTTATTGCCACATCAGCGTTGTTTGTGCCGTGTTGAGGCCTAAAATCGCCCTGTTCATTAAATCAGGGATGTTTTATTTCCGATAATTAAAGATCGTGTAGCACAACATTATTGTTGTGCTTGTGTACTTTTAATTCTTTCTGTTTTCTATTTGGGTGGTTCCAGTATTCCCAATTTGAACATTGTTTAATCACTTATAGTATATGTTGGCTGCTTTTTAAATTTGTCTTTTGACAGCTTATCTGTGATATGCAGGCTACCTAACCTCTGAGTTCCTTTCAAAATTACATCTTATTTTGTTCCGCCCATTGTTTTCTCGTTTAGGGCACACTCATATTTTTACTTGGGGACCATACGCCGCTGTTCGCGGAATGACAGTGTCACATTAAAGGTTTCAAGATAACCATGAACACATCTGCGCATGTTTTATAATTTTAAATTTTATCAAATTTGCTAACGGGCATGAACGCTAACGCTGCACTTAAACCATTTTCCGTTCCCATTGGAAACAGGCGCAAATCACAAAACCGAAGCCTGCCCAACATTTTTCAATTTTGTCGTTTTGTGCGTTTCTGTGGGATTTCCCCTTTTATTCTCCGTAATTTTATAAAATTTGGTTGTTGTTCGATAAATCTAATAATTTTGTGATTTCTAGATGCACATAAGCACCTGATTCTACTAACACTCCAGCCCACATTTGAATTCATTTCAAGAAACTGAACAATACGGTTTCTTGTGCTGGAATGTTTTCCGGCATATGAGGTAAATATGTATATGTTTCACCAGTCTTAAACATCTTACTTTCATTAGCATACTTTAATTAACTTTATACATTTAAAAAATGAAAATAGAAATTCTAATCTAAAATTAAAAAATTCTAATATTATAATAGTTTTTCGCTCCATTTAAGTTTAATATAATTCAAATTTAATTTATGCCCCTGCATCTGATAATTCTGGCACTATGGTTTATTTCGTAAATTTTTAATTTGATCTTATATGGGTATTTTACAAGCATGCCCCCAATTAGATTTCTCGGAAAACCCTCATTAATTTTAGTTTTTGGGGAAGGGTTCCGGATTGCCCCAGTTTTTTTCTTTTGGGAAAAGACAATTTTTTTTTTTAAGAATTATTTTAAAACATGACCCCTGTAGTAAAACCCATAATTATCCTTTTTATTATTAATTTTATGCTTTCAGTTTTTACTTATTTTTCATTGATCTGAATATTTTCATTTTCTATTGGTCGTCTTAATTGAGCAAATCTTTGAGTGAAGATAGATAAAATTTATAATTTGTCACCGTCGGACAAGAACAAAAATTTATGCCTTGAATTGAATTGAAAATGTACCTGAAAACATTGACATCATTGGAATCATTTACATTGAAATTGAACAAATATTCTGCTAAAATCGTTCCGGTTTTTGGAATTTGGTGTTTCCGTCGGGACGCCAAAACGTTTCGGTTTATAGAGGATTCGGAATACAGAGTTTTCGATAAAGGGAATTTTTTACTGTAATGATAATAAGCTTTAATTTTTCGAAGCGTATATTAAACTGGCCGACGCGGACTATTTCCGAATTTGCCTAAATTCCACTTTTTACTCACAAGTTTGCTTCTCCTTGCTTACATGCAAAACATGAATATTAATACAAAGCTAAACAAATTAAATGTCATTAAATAGCTTCAGGGGAAACGGCCTTGAAATCCTGTCAAACAAGTAACACGCTTTGTCATTAAAGATCGTCATTCCGTCAGTCAGCTATCTTCTTGGTATCATAGCTTTCAGTAACACAGCCACAGTTGTACAACAACTGACAAATGTAACATCCGATTCCGTACGAGATCAGCTGATTAATAGTCTGCCTACTGTGGCTTATGGAGGTACATGTATTGGTTGTGGCATTGAACGTGCCATTGAGGTTGGTAATCATAAAATTCAAGCTGGCTAATAAATTTAAGAAAATAATAAGAAACATGATAAATACTGACGAAAACAGATATGCCACAAATAGGTCTATTTGAAGATTTATCTAACAATTTCAGATTAAACATCTTCAAATTGACGGAGCTACATTATTTTTAGAACTGCACATTCGTCACTGTTAAATAAGATTTTCCTTTTACTGTTTTGCAACAATATAATTTTGAATTATTATATATCAAATAAGCTTGTCACTTTATCTAATATAATAATTTTGAAATCAGACATTTTTAAATTACAAGTTGACAACGCTTTCCTGTTTTAAAATAGCTTTCCTTCTTATATTAGTTGAAAAAATATTGGCTTTAACATTATATTTATTAGAATAAAAGTGAATTGTTAATTATACTCTGTTAAGTATTTGAAGTTTGCAAACATTTGGCATGAAATACAATAGTGTGATGTCCTGTGGAATATGTAAAGATGAAAGTTATCTAAAATTGGAAGTAAAATCTCTGATGTAATATTAAACAAAGTTCTAAAAACTTTTGATACGCTTGGAAAATTTAAAGTATACTAAACATCAATTTATGTGTTGTTACATTGACGAATTAAGAAATAAACGTGTCTGAATATACATTATTATGTTATTCAGAATTGCGTATGTGCATAATATTATCATAATTTACAACTATCATTACATTTAGTCAGTGTCTTTGTAACGTTAAGTAGTAAATATGAAAGGTATACATACAATGTATTTTCTGTCCTTATTAAAGTGCTAATATTCTCTTTTTTATTCAGTTATTTAAAATGGAACAAGGGTGAGGCCACTAACGGAGAATTTATTCTCGTTCTGATTGGAAGAATAAAGCAGGCAACATGTGACGAATCAAGAGGAAAGATTTAACATGAAAATGGTCATATTGCACACTGTCGTCTGTCACTCAAGATGCACCGATACTTGTTCTAGCTGATATTTCCAACAGAAACGGCGTGAAATCATTTGTACATACCTGGAAACTGGAACATCTAGTTTTATGTGCTTTTATTGATTGAAATAATAGTTTAGCAGTCATCACAGTCCTATCGAAACAAACCGGTTGTGGTAGATATTTGCAACTATTTTCACGAATCCGTTAAATCTTACGTAGACTTGACTGACAGCATCGCTTGCACCATGCATTAACAAAATAAAAAATGGAGCCTTAAATGTCGCAGCGATATGAATCTTTGAGGCTTGTTCATAGGCGGCAGCGGCATATACCATTTATCGTTCACGCCCGTGTTACACTAGCATAAAAACGAACTCAACATGTAAACATTTAAGTAGTGTTCAGTTATGAATGTAGAAGATATTTTTGTAATTGTCAACAAAATAATTTGCCGATGATAGATGTTTCTTATCTAGATTTTAGTTTAATGGTAGATCGTCGGTATTTTATAAATACACAATGAAAATACAATACTTAATTAGGGCATTTTCTTTGTCATAGCTGACACATCATATATACTATTTTCATATAAATATACATATGCATGTAATATATCTGTCCACGATACCTTGAATGTCAAGTTAGTAAATACAAGTATTGTATTTCATAAGCATTTCAATACAAATCGATGTTGTAATTTGAATACGCATTTTATGATTCAAGCTAGCATCAGAGAGAATACACAGCACTACATCAAGCATAGTCAAACTGACATTTCCTATAGAAAATAATCAAGGAGAAAATACATTTGTTGCCGTTGTTGTACAATCTGATTACAGCGGTCGATTGGACATTAATCTAACTGGCCCAAATGATTTCTCTAGAACACTTATTACTGCAGAGAAGACAGCGACTGTTCGGATTCCAGATATAGCTCAGGTAAACAATTCTTGTATAGTTTTTTTATTTGACATTTTATCTGTTGGACAACCTAACAATAACAGATTAACCATTATATTATTTTTTAAAATAAAAAATATATATACATCAACATTGGAATCGACATTTATAATATTGTTCTTTTTCGCTGTTGATACATACTACATGCAGTTGTTTGTGCTATGTTTAGCTTAACTTAAAATATAGGATTCTGTGTGTTTAAAACATATACAATTTAATGTTGCAACAGCCTGGTGATTATGAAGCAACGGTTACAATGGACACGAGTGGAATATCACTTGAATATGTAGTAAAATCAACACCAGTCAGTAGTGACATAATAAGAGTTGAGGCATATATGTCAGCATCGAAGATCGACTTTAAAACAGGAGAGCTTCCTATTATCTACACAGAGGTTACTAAGGAATACTCCCAAGTAATAAATGCAAACGTCACAGCTCGTGTAGAGTCATACGACGGGGGCAAAGGTTGTGACGAATCTTTGTATGATAATGGATTAGGTAAGCGTTTCCTACTGATTTGATATATCCTTTGCGATGCTTTTCTGTATGCTTGCCCAAGTGAATGTTTCATTTGAACACATTGGCGTTGGAATACATTTTCCATATTTTTCACATTCATTTTGCATGTGAACACAATTCCTACCTTGCTTTATGCCCCAAATAGATTACGAAATGAAATGATTATCATTAGAAGTTCCGCCTATTGTCTAATCTCATGTATTTTTTTAGAATGCTTTACTAACGCTATCGTTTTTGTTCTGTTAACTTACTTTTAAAATTGTCTAGGTTATTTGAAATTGAAATACTCGCAGTTATAAACACTGACAAGTTTATTTATTATTAGGTAAAAAAACAGACTGTAATCTGTAGCTCAACTAAATACATTGCTTAGCCTTTTATTGTTTAATCCAGATATAAGTTTTGTTTTTGTTGAGTGTCTGTTGGTATGGTTGTGGAATCTACAAATTCTACTACCGAATATTATACATTTTGTGAGACTACGATCCCCTTTATCCAATTAAACATTACTCATAAGATAAGATTCGTCAAAATAGAAATAGCCAGAGACTTTGTACAATGGTTTGTGTAAACGTATACCACTTATCTCACCGGGGGTTTAAAAGGCAACGGTGGCATGTACAAACAATTAACGAAGCATGTATGTTGAGGTGAGAGAAAAGACGTAAATCATATACATTTATGTTAGAATATTTATATAAGCTAACAGTAATTATTTGGCTCTTACAAAAACAAATCTATATAATAAATGATCTTTGATAATTAATACTTTAATAGATCCGGATGATATTCGTGATGACGGGATTTATTCAGCATATATACTTCCACAATGCCTTGGAGCTGGGCGCATAAATGTGAAGATTTTTGCAAAAGGGCAGGGAGGAAAGGTGCGCATTAAGAGCGTTACTGCTGGAGGTCAAGCACCTTATCAAGGTTTGTCCAAATATTATATTAACTTTTACCAAATATTACATATTGAATTATTATACCTTGATTTTATTACTTTATAGCCTTGTGTGGCTTCAGTGAGTCACAACTGCAATATTATATGGTAACATCACGTTTAAGGTAGCTGACATAACGAAAAGACCTTCACGCGCATACAGGATTCAGCATATTTTGTATGTTCCATATCGGTTACCCTCTTTGTTGAAAATCATACAGTCGCACCATGCGCTATGTTTAACTGTTGGAATGAAACGTGTAAATAAGATAGTAATTGGTTTGAGATATTTGTCTTTTAATATTGATTTATGGTATAACATATTAAATTCTCTTTCAAATTCTCTTTTAAAAATATGGTAGTATTCTGCTTATGACTGGTTGACGCTTTCTTTGGAATGAAATTGTATATCTTTGTTTTCAAAGATCATTGACTTTCCAAAACAACCAGTGCCGTCCATAGCAACCGTTGAATTTTCTTTGGAACCAGTTAATTCCATTGCAAACATTGACATTCTAAAGCAACCAATGAATTCAATAGCAACCATGGACTTTCAGTAGTACCCGGTGACGACGATATCGACCTGTGATTTGAATAACAACCAATGCATTGTCTTATCCGTAGACAGGTGGCTTCCATTACATCCGTTGACTTTCTTAAACGACCGGTTGCTTTTAAAGCAACTATTGACATTCCATAGCAACCAGTGCCAAGGCCCACCGTGGCTATCTTGTTTTCTTTTTTTAATATGTATTTACGCAGCATTGTATTTTTGCAGAGGAACAGTTGAAGGAATACAACGAACGTTTTCAGCGTGTTAGAGTGATGGAAGACCTTTACATTGAAAACTATGAGGATCCTGGACTAAATGATACGGTTCCACCAGGAAGAGTTAGCGATGTTGATATCCATAATATTGTCACAAAAGCAACATTGTCAGGAGAAAGCAGAAATTTTACAATATCTTGGACTGCACCTGGTGATGACAAAAGCATTGGTCGAGGTAAATGTGAAATGTTAGTTTACAGACTGGAGTATTTTTAAGACATGTAATGATAAGATAACTGTAATTGAAAGAATTATGCTATTAAAAAAAGATTTATATCTTATCGTTTATTTCTTTTCTTTCATGAACATTAATTAGCTGTCATTTTTGTATCTTATCTAGCTTCGGAGTACATATTCAGAATCGCCGATGATTTTGAAACTCTCCAAGACAACTTTGATAATGCCGAGCTGTTAGATATAGGAACTTTGAGTTTCAAGCCTCTAAATTCTGGTGAAAAGGAAGCATTGAAAATTGTTGTTGACGCAGAGAAATCTTATACCAGCACAGTGTTCTTCGCCTTAAAAGCAGTTGATGAAGTGGGTAATACAGGAAAAGTGTCAAACATTTTGTCAATAGTTGTCGCTAAAGGATATCGTGCATATGGAGAAGCAGGCAGTTTGGAGACGGAGGATGTTGACGTTAAAACAGCAGAAGAACAAAATGTCATGATATATATTATTCTAGGATCTGCAGCAGGAGTTATCGTGTTTTCTGACTACAGTCGTAACCAGGCCTTTTGGTGTAGAAACAGAAGAGTCCCTGGTTATGTCATTTACTTTATAATAAGTTTAAACTTAAACTAAAAGTTTTTGGTAAAATACATGGTAATTTCTGGGGTTGACAAAAAATATCAGGTTTTTAAATTTAAAAGGTGAAAACACTTAAATCCAAATAAAGAATGGCAAGCGTCGTGTTTACATTATTTCTTTTGTCGAGTATACGAATTGAAATATCAAGCTCGTTTACGTTTCACATGTTATTAAATCTTTACAGAAGGGCAAAAGAATAACAAAATGTTCCCACTTGCGGTGCAAGTTTACGAAATACGTGATGAAGGAAAACAGAATTATGTACAAATACCATCTGTACTACTTGAACGCTCGCGTTTGTGTGCCTGTATGTTTATCAGTAATTATAATTCGTTGTGACATTAATTCGATTGTAAAAATTCATTGTGTTTATCTATTTGTACGTATTATATTTCATTGTGATGAAAGATAAATAATAAACATTATATGACACTAGTAATAGAAATAAAAGCAGATCCCGTTGAATTAGTTTCGTTAGCAAAGACAAATCACACAAAATAAAGCTACAAAGAATAATCAAATTGTACACATTTTGATGTTGTTGCAGACATAATTACGCCTAGTAATCCTACAGTCCATTTTCTGTCCATATACGTAACATATACCCCTTTTATATCCAGGTTTTCTAACGATAAAATAATATTAATTTTTGTGATAAATCGTTTCATGTTATTGTCAAATCAAAAGAATTAAGAAAGGAAAATAATATCGGGACGATAAAATACATCAGCCTTAAGGAAACTACTCGATATCTCTAATCTACCGGTCCGCTCTCTATATTTTAATTAGTAAACCGGACGTTTCGTTTCCCGATCTTCTAACTTTAGACACGCATTAAAAATAGCTCTCAGGACGCTTTTTAAAGAAGATTTAACAGGGAAATAATGCTCTTTTCCAAGATAAAATTACTGCAATACCTAGTTTGAAACAACACAGAATTGTTTTCCCAAAAGAGAATAAAAGCTGAAGGCCCCTTTAGAGGTTGAAGCATCAGAATTGCAGCCAGCGTTTATCTCTGCATGATCGTAAAATGAGAATAAATATGTTCGAATTACTGAAGACTATGCATCTCTAAGCTTCAGCAGGTGAGGTTGTTTCTAACCCTACGTTTTATGTTTCTTTCTCAGGGTAAGGCAAAATCATTTTTCCTGTTTTGGCGCCATGTGACATAAATTATGTTAGTGCGCCGTAAAAACAAACATAACAAACGAAATATAGTTGAAATCTTTAACTTTAAAGCTTACTTGTCGGAAGCAATGTCGAATGATTCCTTAAATTACATAACGCTGACATATGTATTCGAATGCAATTTTCTATGTATGGATATATAATTGTTGAAATATTTTTTTAAAGATTTCATATTCAAGTTGGGCTTTCAACTTTAAAGTCAACCTGATTAAAGCTTATATCATTTAACTGCTACATGTGAGGTATCTCCTATAAGATAGGATATTGTAAGGATATGAATAATTAAACTCTATTATTGAAAAAGGAAAGTTCCCGACACTATACTATTTAAATTGATGTTTCACACAAAGTATCATGCAGAATTTAACGTGTTCCTATTTGTGTCAACAATGCGACAAATAGAGCATGCGTAAAAATAGAATATACTTTTTTGAAAAGTACAGGATACTTGTTTAAAACAAAGATATAGGTTCCGTGGTAATTTGTTATTTGCGCAAAAAGATAGATTGTTCATACTTAAGGGACATAAAATTATTTCGAATATTTAGAATGGTAAAGTAGGACTTACTATATTGTATAACACTTCTGCTTGTTTAACAAAGATAAGTAAAAGTTACCGTCTAGATGTAATTAGAAGTTTAGATAAGAACTTTATAAATGTTATATTGTAGAGTTTAACACAAGAGATAACAATAATGGTTCATATTTAATTACGGAAATATGTCACTTTCAAAATATTTAACAGAGTACTTTTCAGATGAAGAAAGTGGGGCAATAAGCGATTCTGAAGGTAAGCTTACTATATACAGAGAGGTTATTGATTAAGTGTTTAATTTGCAAGCGTCTGGCAAGCATAATGTTATTTAATTGAACGAGTTCAATATAGATAGTAATGAAGCTACACGAATATAATTTTTCTTTTATCACATATCCAAAATAAGAACCGTTCACGGAAAGAATAAGGCACTTCTCCATTGACGCGTATATATTGTAACTCAACACTTAGCGCGTCTTAACGCAAATGACGCCACGTCATTCTATATGCACGGTTGTGCAATTCCGAGTCCTAAAAGTTTCTCGGGTTGTGATAAAAAAAGGATATTGAATGAGTGTAGGTTCAACACTGACTGCCTCTGGCAAAATATTATTTATTCAACGACTTCAATAAATTCAATAATGAACCTACATACACGAATATGATATTCTTTTTATCACATACCCTAAATAAATAGTGTTTAATTTTCAAAAAGAATAATTTGTCAGTGGCGCGCCTAAGGCGTTACGCTTACATTTACATTACGCGGTACGTTTATATAACGCAAATGACGTCACATCAAAATATATGCGCGGTCGTACAATGCCAATATCTTTTGATAACAATAAATGTTTGAAATGTGATGTAAACAATTTAAGACTTGTAGAATTTCTTATTTCTTATTTAATTTTTCTCTATATATTTCAAACTGCATTGTTTCTGTATTTAGCTTTTATACATTTAGTCTTTTTTCACGACAGAAGAAGGACAAGCAGATGCCAAGCCGAAGCCGAAAGACTGGCGTCCATCAACATTTTTATCTCTGGACTTTTCGGTTCACCTGTCGGTATCTCTGTCAAACGTAACACCATATCGAGCGATAAGGTTTGACACGGTTGATACGAATCATGATAATTGCTATAATGCCACAACAGGGCGATTTACTGCACCGCTAAAAGGATTGTATGTTTTCTTTGCCACAATAACTACCACCGAAAGACTTAAAGCATCGCTTTGTTTTATTCATAAGTTCCACCCTGTGGACCAATCGAGAGTTAAGGAAAGGGAGCAACTAATAGAGGGGTTTAGCAACAAAACTATAGCTGTGGTGCTGACACTTGATAAAGAGGACGACGTGTGGGTTCTAAATGTTTCCAAAGTGTCAGATGTCAGCCAAATGCAAGAACCTTACTACACATCTTTCTCGGGTGGTTTAGTAGACAAACTTACTTCAGACTGACTGTCATCAGTTGATTTTGTGTAAATGATTTATGTTGTCAGTTATGCACGAAGTTGATAATGTTTTAAGGGGAATCCACTGAGGTTTTTGGCATGAAGGAACTAGAAATAATTTTCGAGATTTATGGTCCATGGATGAAGGCCTGGACCAATTACCTGTATGCAAAAATTCAGATCATTCGCTCACAATGTTTTATTTTTATCTTTTTTTTAAGTTAGTTAAATTGTGTAAAATGGCGCAAAATTGAAAAGAGTTCCTTCGCGTTTCACTCAAATCGGGCTAAGAATAGCACAAAAATACGATTTTTAACTCCATTTAATGTTAAATTTTTTTTCGGTTTCTACCACCATAAAAAAGATATATAAATTATGTTTTTACATCTATAAATTTTAGTTGGACATTAACTAGATTTATTGGAATAAATATCGTCAAAAACTCTCAGCATAAAAGAACTTTTTGTATACATGTTGACTTTCTTAGCGTAGGTTAAACCGACATACTGTATGTGCATTTACTATTGTGTCCGAGGTCCTTGTCCTATGACTGACAGAAAGGACCGAAAACTTGCGTTTGCCAATAACAATCAATTTAGTTATTTCTACATGAATATTTAACAGTTCCCATCATACTTCAGTGAAAAAAGATAGGTGAATAGAGAAAAATCATAGTATAAATGAAAGGGGATGGAATTTATCAGGGTATTCATTTTCAAGAAATAAAAGTTGTCTCCCTTTGCTATTGTTTTTTTTTTTCTTTTTTCTTTTTTTTTACACATTTTTCTTCCTATTGAGTGTACAACAGCATCAATTTCAGACCTCTAATGAGATAACGTGAAATAAAACATTTATAATTATGTAGAATAGAATGACATTTCAATTCTTAAGACAACTAACTATTTTATTGATATTGTGAAGAGATCTTAAATGGGAGAAAGCAATATCATTTAGGAAGTTACCTTTAAGTGAAACGGTTTTCGTAAGTTTATGTGCTCAGATTGTTTTGTTTATTAAACAATAAACTCCAGGTGTCTTAACACTAAATGGTTATAACTAGCATATGATTTTATTCTGTTAACAAATTATATTATGTATAGTAAATTTAAAACTCGAAACATACCTTATAAATATCAACTGTTTTTGTATTTCCTGGTTTCAAGTACTTTTATTTTCTCTGCAATATGTGCATACCCATGACATAAGACTCTATATCACTTTACATCGATTGTTTTCATAATAGAATCTATGAAAATAATAACGAATATAAATATTCAATGGTTTGAACAAAAAGTAACTTTGAGTAAATTAAGCATGTTTTCCAAGGCTCTCTTTGTTACAGGAATGAAAACAACTGATATAGCAATTAGAAAGTGACCCATATGTTTATATTTCTTGCGTGCATGATTTCCTCCCTTGGATGTTAATTTCATTCACTTTTTGTTGGGATTGCAGAAATGAATTCCTTAATAGCTGTCAGTTGAATAATCAAATTACAAACCGAAAAATGACGGAAGTGAGTCCAACAGTTCAAGCATTCTGTGTACATTGGGGGTTTCGATTTAATATCATATCCGTAAAGTTAGTGATTTCATACAATGGCAGTTGTAAACATTAATAAACATTATGCAAATCATGTCAATTTACCATAACGAAATAATCTGTCTTCCGCACAATAGAGTCAATCTAATGTGTCATGGATATGGCCAAGAACAAAACAATGCTTCAAAAAGTGGAGGCAATCTGTCAACAAGTGAATTGACAATTTAAACAAAACAAAATCCTGAACGTCAAACTGACATCTTTATCATACGTTAGCTCAAATGTCTCAATTAGGTTGTTTGATAAAACAGTGTCTTATTTGTCTGATTAGAACAACAGATGTCCCAAAAAAGCTTTGAGTTTTTGGACATATTTGACCGCTGATTAATTAAGATAGCAAAATGTTGAACACAGAAAAAGACCTTTTATGTATCAATTTACGAGTTATCAGAACGTATGACTTGAAAAAAATGCGATTATGATAAGCTTGTGTCCAATTAACAAAATAATAATGGCCATGTTCGTGTAATTTCAGGCAGTCAAAGTCATAAATGACCTCTATATAATTGAGATTGCTATCTATTATATCATCGTAGATCGGTCGTTGACAGTGCGTAATGATGTTCTATCTTCATGACATGTGATCAAACTTAAGTAGTTAAAATGATACAAAAATATATATTATAGTTAGTTTTTGCTAGCTGTTATATTTATTTATAGTTTTTAATACTATGCTAAGATGGAATAATTCAATTTTCTTTCTTTCTGTTAAAGTTTGTTTATTTTTCTTGCCTTGTTTTGTTAGTATATATGTGTATGTGAAACACATCAATACACACACATAGTCCATAAATATAATCGTATGACTTTTTTAAGTGGCTATGCACATCCGACCTTTATTCTTTCTGAAAGATCACCGTAACAGCAAACTGCACGTATATATATTCTGCATGAAACCGTTCCTATATTCTAGACTGGAACCGTTCCAGTACTGTATTTGAAAACCGTCAACTATTTAACATTAAAACCGTCCTTATATTAAAAATTAAAACCGTTCCCATATTGTATATGAAAACCGTCCCTGTATTCTATATGAAAATAGTTACAATAGTCATGCTATAACATGTATAACGCTTTACCAACAATATTACTTTTTCTTTTGCAATGACGGTTTGCTGATATATCTGTATATCAGTTATTGTTGCAGACCTTGAAGTCCAGTTGTCTTGAATATCAATGCAAACACAATTAAAGGTCAATGCAGGTTCAAATAATATTAGTAATAGAGGAAATAAATTTGCTTTAAAACAGTGTTTACGTAAAATTTAAAGACAGATGTTCGTGTAAACTGTGAAGTAGTTTCAGATTGGGAAGATCATTTCAGAATGTATTAATTTGAATTATAATAGATGTAATGGCAATCTTTATGTTATAACAGTTTGTAATTAATAAACTGACAGTTGTGTTACTATCATAAATATCAATCAAGACACTGAACGTATGAATATACAAGTACTGTTATTAGACCTTTCTATCTTAAACGGACTTCGTAAACGGACTTCGTAATACGAAATAAATTTGGGTATTTTCTCAAAACATAAATGATAAAAATATTATGCTAAAACTGTAATATAGCGGGTTTTCTTACATGCAGATGCTAGTTATTGTATTTCTATAAACCATCAACACAATAAAGATGGAGACAATACATGTTCTTGTGGCTAATCCATAGGTCGCACTAATTTTTGTGATGTTCCATCTATTGCACCTACTGCAGGATACAGTTTTTCCCAGACAGCCTACGTGGTCGATGGGTTACAGTCGATGACTTCTAACCCAGTTACCTCTCTGGCGTGGGCTCGATCCCCGGGAGATGCTTTGGTAGTTTAGCGCGGAGGAAGGTAGTCTAGTACTGGTGTAACTCTCCAGGAACGATGGTTAGGAAACTACCCGCCTATATGACTGAAATACTGTTGGAAAAAGGCGTAAAATGAAACAAACAAACAAACAAATTAGTTTTTCCCAGTTGCCACGTTCACTAAGACACTGATCTATGGTTGTTTAAGTGATGTAATTCGCAAATGTTGCGTAAAATGTAGTATAATTGTGCGAATTTCAATATGTACATATCTGGTGCACACATTGAACATGGTGGAAAGTGTTACAATTTAGGGATGGGTAACATCGTATCCATATCACAAATGATAAAATTATATTTACTGACCACTGTAATTCTAAGTAATGTAATGTTTATATTAATGTTTTTGATGTTTTACCAGTTATTTTATAGAAATTGTCCACATTTTCTGAGAAATTTGAAAAAGTTTCCTACGGAATATTTATTCGAATCATTTGAAAATAAACGGTTGTGAATATATAGTGTAGAGTCTAGAGGTGGCATCATTAATTACGGCAACTAAACATAACCATGTATGGTTGATATATTCTGAAGCATCTGGCGGGGATTGAACTAAATTAGGAAGTGCCAAAAGTTAGCCTTCGCCTACCAGCTTTCATTCTAAAAATCTTAATACAATGCAGTGTTGCAGCGAAAAGTAACACAGTTGTTGTTTAGCATAACCAAAAAATGATGACCCACGTATAATAGTAATAGTCAGGTTTTCCCACTCAAAGGTATGACTGTCAGAAAATCGGCAACTTTTGAGTACCTAGGGTTAAATGTTAGTCGGTATAACATATGTACTATTATTGTATAAATCTAACGCTCGATAATTTCGTGTAAATTCACACTAAAGCGTTACTACATTTAATAAATACTTAGTAACAATGATATTTATACAAATATATATATGACGAATGCCGGGTGTTTTAAATGTTGCAGCAGGTCAACGTAAACGACCGGCTCATCGCAGGAGGAATATGCACTTCCTTGTAAATCAAATAAGAGAAAATCAGGCTCTCTACTAGAGACCCCCCCCCCCCAAAAAAAAAAAATAAATAAAAATAAAAAAAATCAAAAGTACTATGTGAATCCGGCGTCAGCAGGGACGGCAGTAATGTCATTTACCTTTAGTCTTGCTTTCACAAACACTTACACTCAAAACTTAATGGCATGTTGGTCATTGGTTAAAAAAATAATTAGCATTACAACAAAGCATACATAAATTAGGAAACTTGTATTGTTTTTTGTTTTTTTGTTTTTTTTTTTGTTTTTGTTTTTTTGTCTTTATAAATATTATGGTTATATTCTCTTCTTCTTTAATACGTTGATAGAAATACATGTACAATAACCGCTGTAATGCAGTTTTAACGTACTGATTATTTGATTTTCCTCGCATTTTTGTTTTGAGTAAATCCCCAAAATTATTCCGTATTACGAAGTTCGTTTACGCAGTTCGTTTCAGATAGAAAGGGCTATTAAGAATTAAAATGATCAATAATTGTGTGTATTGATTTGATTTTGTTATTGGGCTTTGTGAAATTACAAAGGTAAAAATTTATCAACGTTTCAATATCATTATATCCCAGAACGTAAAGGTTGGCAGAAACATAATTTGTTTATCCATTGCAAACTTGAGATTTCAATTCCATCAGATTTAACTTATGCAATTGTTTGTTGAATTAACTATGTCAGTATGTTATCTTATACTTACATCAAATGTATGTTACCTTATACATGTACTTACATCACAGTCTTTACTATCTCTGCTTACATCAATATATCTGAATAAAAAATTGAAATTGGTTATTGACTTATCATTTTTCTTAAAATTTAGGGGTCTGCAACTTGGGTTCAAAGTTCAATTCAATTAAAAAAAAAATAAACTGCAAACACATGAAAATCACGATTTATTAATTTAAGTAAATACTTTTTGCAATATAATGATTGTCATGATATTATAAAACATAATTATTATCAATATGTCCATTAAAAAGGATTAGTGTCCTCAATTAAAAAGTACCTGTCGATAATTGCGTCCATGTGTCGATAACTACAGCCTTAGAATTAGTAGTTACTACCGAGTGTCACGCTGTGTAAAAATAATCGGAACCGGGAAATACCCTTCTAAACAACCAATCAACGATTGTTTTACATAGTAGAATTCAATCAAATGGAAATAAACAAATCGATAATTGTACGATGGCTTTTTTTGGGTTAACCTGTCGATAACTGTAGCACTTGCTCTATTTGTAATTGCTTCTTGATGTTATGGATTTTATATACATGATCATGTTTGAGGTAATTTATAATACTATACAGATACTCAAGAGTGAAAATGTCTTTACCTTTACAACGTATCTGTTCAATCTGCATCCGGTTATAAATACTGTTCATCTTTTAATCGATGTTTAGATATCTTCTACAAGCATATCGGTCACGTGGAAAAAGCCGCCTTTTATTTTGTCCTTTTTTTCTAAATAATATTGGTGCGACAAGGGAAACAACAATAACTATTCAAATGATTGCAAGAGTTTGTGTTCGTCATGATATTTTGCGACCCGAAATTTGATATGTCTTTATATTGATTAGTTTCATTTAGTGCAAAATAAAACATGTGTTCCAAAATTTCACATAGAAAATAAACAATTTGCATGTGAACCTTGACGCTACATTTTATAATAAAAGAAAACGGTTAATTTTGTATAATAGCTAATCATATCGGGCAAAGACTATTGAGTACACATTTCATAAAAAAAACTCTTTTTATATTATCTGGGACTTTTAATATCTTATATATGACATTATAAGTCCCAGATGTTATGAAAGAGTGAAATCGCAAACATTGCTTATTTCATGATTTATACATGTATTATGCTACCAAGTAAGAGTGTAATTTCGTATTAAATTTAAAAGAAAATTCATAGTTTTTATTTTTATTTCTTTGTCTTTTTATATATCGTTAATTAACGTGGCGCTTAAGTTTACAAAAAGGAATTCATTATGTAAATAATTGTTGACAAAAACAAGTTAACAAGAAAACAGACATATATGATTGTATAGCATATAAGATATCAGTGCGATAAGTTGTTAAATCTGTTATTAATCCTATAAATCAATATTATCTGCGCTTTGCTACATATTCAATGCTGTCTTCAAAATTAAATGCTAAGGAAATTCAATGAAATTTAAATTTAGATATTAAGTCTGCACATATTGTACTTTCTTCAAAACATTTATTTTCTATTACAATGAGTTTAAGTCCTTGCATCCTATATGCATGTTTACATACGACTGCATTAAATGTGATTTATTTATATAAATTCCATAAATGTCAAATACCAATATTGTGGAGTGTCAAAACTCTTCTGTAAATTTATCAATTATGCGAAATATAAACTAAGTATATTAACTTTCGATAAAGTAATAACGTATGACAGAACATTTTCAATAGACACATTAAAGAAGAAGAAGAAGAAAAAGAAGCAGAAAAAATAGGAGAAGAAGCAGAATAAGAAGAGGTAGAAGAAGAGAAGAAGAGAAAAGAAAGATATGAAACATTTTTTTGTATAAACTGCATGGATATGCTACATCTTTTTGAAAATTGAAAAAAAAATACTCTTAATTTCAATATCAGTTCAAGTGCACTTTCAATATTTTTTCATGATAAAAGGTAATCTTTCCTACTGTTCTTAAGAACAACTATTTAAATGTGTCTTCTTTGTAAGATTGTAAGAAGACACTTTTAAATGATTGTTAAAAAGAACAGTAGGAGGGATTGCCATTCAGCTTGAAACAAAGGCATACATTATCGAAATAAGTCAAAAACAATGTAAATGAAAAACAAATAAAAGAAAAGTCATGGTGTAGCTTTCATTTTTGTAAACATACCACTTGATTACATACCGGTAGGTCGTAAATTGGTACATTTTAAAACGGTCCATGTTATTTTATTTAGTATTTATCTAGATTTCAATGACCATATTTTTTATCTTGACTTTTTATTAGTTAAAGTACATATACCGCGTTTGTTACGAGAGTATAACACTGGCGTGGGCGTCTTCTACAAAAATATCGTCTAGGCGGCCGCAAAATCGATTATGTTTAAGCTTTAAAAATATGAAGGCCGATAGGCTGAGACGATTTTTAGGCAGAAATATTTAGAGATGTCGCCAAGCCAGTGCTTTACCAACGTACCTAACGAATTTAATAAATTTTAACTGTTTTATCGCAATTATATATTTATTGTTACAGAAATCGGTAAAAATTACTATGTTAGATGCTTTTCCCTCTTTTGTGCCCTTGACCTTTTATTTCAAATTTCAAGAAAAATGACCCGATATCATCCAATTATTCTATGTGTTTTGCTACTGGGACCCATCCCATCCTCTGATTTATAGCAGGTTAAAAAAAAACACAACTGTTATATATCAGTTAAGTTTATTCTATTTGAAACTTTTAATTCCGATCGCCACATTGTCACAATTTCGGCAATAATAAACAAATATGTATAACCTTTCCAAAAATATAACAATTTAAACAATGTTTCTTTCCACAGCACCTTTACGATAACATACGATAACTTGAGAATGAATAAGCCCTGGTTTATTTAATTTGGTAGAGACATGACTAATGACAGTTAATGTAAAATTTTTTGTCGGATAAATAACTTGAGACGGATAAGCCATGTTTTTTATATAACCTTGTACAGACATTGCACCTGTTAATCAATTGATGCCATCTAATGATTTTGAGGTCATTAGGTCATTGATGAAAACCCTTGTCCATTTCATAACCTGAGAAGGAACACTTACTTTGTTACTTGATAGGGACGTTGTCCTTAGTCACAAGGTGGCCAGTAGAAAATCTTTATTAATTTTCATATCATTAGATCACTGTTCAAGGACACAGACATAGTACATATTGTTCCCGACATAGAAACTTGTACGCATGTTCAAGCAGCTAATGAGATAAATAAAAAAATACACGTGTCACCTTTGTGCAACCGTAAATATAACTTTCATGTTCAATGTAAAATTATCGAAGTCAGTGCCAAAATTGCACAAAACGATTGCAACCCATACAATGGCATTTTGGTAGTTTATACAGTGTGTTCGAATTGCTTCAATTTATGAAATCATTTTAAACATATCACTAATAATAAGGATAGTATGGAAAGCAAACAATGAAGATTTTGGTATTTCTTATTATTTGTTGGTGCTTCGAATACGTTACTCCAATCAGTGTAAATAATGGCGGTTATGAAGATATGTATATTGTTATTAAAGACAACAACGAGGACAGTGAATTTCTTCTAGAGCGTATTCAGGTAAAATCTTTCCATTCTATTTTTTGGTTAAACTATGAACTTAAACTATGGACGTTTCGTAGCTTAATTACGCGTTCGGGGTGAGCTATTTTGATACACATGTATGTGTCCGTCGTCTTTCGTCTGACATCCTTTGTTAACATTTTAACTTAAACAATGTCCGCTCCTAAACTCCTATATAAAAACCTTGGTTGGCCGTCAGAACTAAAAATAGATGAAAAAACCCTTTTAATGCCATCGCTCCTTTACTGTTTGGTAGATTAGGAATGATTCTTAAATGGATCTTTATAAAAAATGTTGTTATGGTTCATGTCTGTTGGACAAGATTTCCGCCATTGCTAAAATAGAAAAGGGCGTTCAATAATAATAATAATTAAAAAAATGATATTTTTGAAATTATGACTTACTCTACAGGAATGATCCTTAGATGGTTTATTAAAATAATTGCTCGAAAAGGTCCGGTCTGTTAAACACGATGATCGCCTGATAGATTTTGATAAAACTGTAAAGAAATAATCATTTGACATTATTTCTTTACAGTTGTTAAATATTTACCGATGCAATGAATAAAATGGCTACCAGGGCTTTAAAAGAGTTTTAAAGATCACCTTCTTCTTAACTATTTAGATAATTTTTTTTGAAACTATCAAACCAAATAAGACTGATCGTTTCTATAAATATTGTTCCGCTAACTATTTGGTCGATTTTGAAGAAACTATACACAAATGTCGTGGGGAATTTACCAAATTTTTCCAGTCTGCTGATCAAAATTTTCACAAGAACTGAAAATAATTTTATTTTTAAAGAAAAAAGAAAAAAGAAATTCCTAAACTCGTGAATAAAGAGGACATCAGGTATTGAAAAGCAGAAAAATAAGGCCGATAGTTGATATCAATTTAGGGCAATGTGGATAATCTTTGATGTGCAGTTTTTAAAAAATTATTTTGACTGAATTGTCCTTATTTTCGTCATTTTTGCGATATGCAGTCTTCATAACCTCTGATCCCCTTTCAAAATTCCATTGTATTTAGTTCCGCCCATTGTTTTCTTGTTAAGGGAACACACATTCTTTTATTCGGGGATCCTACGTCGCTTTTCATGGAACGACACTATTGTGTCACATTGAAGGTTCCATGATAATCCCTGTATGAACACATCTGCGGATGTTTCTAAATTCAAAATTTAACAATTAACGTGTTTATATGTTGAATTCTGCTTAAGCCGGTCCTAGGGGGCGTGGACGGTAACTTGCAATTGAAAGTCCCGTCCATGAACAGGCTCAATCAAATCGAGCCTGCAACATTTCCATTTTGTCGTGTTGGGCTATCTTTAGGGATTCTGTATTTCTCTTTTTCCTTATTAGGTCGAGTCCTTGAAGGTATTTTTTTGCTATATGATATTGAATTTTTTTCATAGTATTTTACGGTTATTTTGGGTTTTTGTCCTGGTTGCACATGTGCAAACCCGGGTTATAGTATGGTGAATGATGGGCGTTCGGGCGGGAGAAAATTTTTCTCAGCAACTACTTATCACAGTCTCTTGATATTTAGCATACGGCATTGACACATAGTCCCATACTTTGGGATTCGATTTCAGGTCTGTCGCTCACCTTCTTTCTGTTTACCGACTAATTTAAATAGTGAATGGTAGGAGATTTTCAGTTTTCTCAGCAACTACTTAACATCCACTTCCTATTTACCGACTTAGTTAAATTTTCGACATAAATGGTCAATGGTAGGAAATTTTCTCATCAACTACTTATCTCAGCCTCGTGATATTTGGATTACAGCAGTAACTAGTGGTCCCATAAAGTGGGATTATTTGATTTCAGGTCTGACACTCATCCATTTCCTGTTTGCCGACTTAGTTAAATTTTTGACATTAATGATCAATGATAGGAAATTTTCGTAACAGTTTTCTCAGCAACTACTGATCACAGTCTCTTGATATTTGGCATATATCATTAACTAGTGGTCCCATACCGTGGGATATAATTTCAGGTCTGTTGCTAATCCACTTCCTGTGAATTAGTAAAATTGTCAATATTTATGGTCACTGGTAAACATTTTTTTGTAAAAATCTGGAAACAAAGTAATCCCTCGGAAGCATTAATAATAAGAAAGAAAATTACAATAGAATTGCAGACAGTTCATTGAACGCCGCCTATCCTTGTTGATCTTGTTTATCATATATTACATTGTAACATCACAGCCTCAAGATATTTGGATAATTTGGTATACAATTTCAACTCGGCCTTTGACCCATTTTTTAGCTCACCAGAGCCGAAGGCTCGGGGTGAGCTTTCAGTATCAAAGGGGGATGCTCCAGCGTCCATCGTTCGTCGTCATGCGTCAACAATCGTCGTCTTCCCTGAAACTACTAAGCAGATTTACTTCAAATTTGGCCTGTAGCATCCTTGTGACAGTCACACTGGAATTTGCTCATGTCATTCCAATTGGCCCCTTTTAGGGGTCAGCAGAGCTAAAAATAGAAAAACCTTTAAACATCTTCTTCTATAGAACTAATTGATGGATGATCATCAAACTTTGTCTGTAGCATTATTGGGTAGTCTTCTATCACGTTTGCTCATAATAATTTGAGTGGCCCATTTTAGGGGTCTCTAGGGCTAAAAATAGTAAAAACCTTTTAACATCTTCTTCTACAGAACTAATTGATGGATGATCACCAAACTTTATCTCTAGCATTCTTTGATAGTCTTTTAACAAGTTTGCTCATATGAATTTGATTGGTCTTCTCCTTCAGAACTAAATGATGGATGATCACCAAACTTTGTTGAAAGCATTCTCGGGTATTGTTTTATCAAGTTTGCTCATAACACTTTGACTGGCCCCTTTTAGCGGCCACTAGAGCCAAAAATAGAAATACCGTTAAATGTCTATTGCTAGTAGTCTTCTATTAAGTTTGCTAATATTATTTTGATCAGCCCCTTTTAGGGGTCTCTACGGCTAAAAGTAGAAAAACCTTTAAACATCTCCTACAAAACTAATTGATGGATGATCACCAAATTATGTCTGAAGCATTTTTGGGTAGTCTTTGATCAAGTTTGCTCATATTAATTTGATAAGCCCCTTTTAGGGGTCTCTATAGCTTAAAATAGAAAAATCTTTAGATATCTTCTTCTACAGTTCTAATTGATGGATTTTCACCAAACTTTGTCTGTAGCATTCTTGGGTATTCTTATATCAAGTTTGGTCATTTGAATTTGATTAGCTCCTTTTAGGGGCCGCTTAAGCTAAAAATTGAAATACCTTTAAGTGTCTATTTCTACATAACTAATGGATGGATGATCACCAAACTTTGTCTGTAGCATTCTTGGGCAGTCGTTTATCAAGTGTGTTGATATTATTTTGATTTGCCCCTTTAAGGGACCACTAAAATTAAAAATAGATATACATTAAAATGTTTATTGCTACAGACTAATTTATGGATGATCACCAAATTTTGTCTGTAGCATAGTTTGGTAATCATTAATCAAGTTTGCTCACATTAATTTGATTGGCCCCTTTAATGGGCCGCTAAAGCTTAAAATAGAAAAACCTTAAAACATCTACTTCAGAAACAATTGATGGATGATCACCAAACTTTGCCTGTAGCATAATTGGGTAGTCTTTTATCAAGTTTGCTCACATTAATTTGATTAGCCCCTTTTAGGGGCCGCTAAAGTTAAAATAAGAAATACGTTTAAAAATCTTCTCCTACAGAGCTAATTAATGGATAATCACCAAACTCTGTCTGTAGCATTTTCGGGTAATCTTTTATCAAGTTTGCTCATATGACTTTCATTGGCCCCTTTTAGGAGCCGCTAAAGCTAAAAATAGAAAAAACCTAGAAACATCTTCTACTTCAAAATCAATGGATGGATGATAACCAAACTTTGTCTGAAGCATTCTTGGGTACTCTTTTATCATGTTTGCTTATATTAATTTGGTTATCCCCTTTTAGGGGCCACAAAAGCTAAAAATAGAAAAAACCTTCGAACATCATTTCCTACTGAAATAATTCATAGATTATCACGGAACTTTGTAGCATTCTTTGGTTGTCTTTTATCAAGTTTGCTCATAATAATTTGATGAGCCTGCCTCGTTTAAAGCTAAAGCTTAAATGTCCCAGGGAATGGCATTTCTTCAAATTATTCTTTAAACATATTCTATTCTCAAATTTAATATTAGAATATATTGACATTCAATCACTGTAAAGCAGTTGTTTCTGGTGAGCGACTCAGGGCCATCATGGCCTCTTGTTCATATCTATCTAGAGAAATAAAAAGTTTTTGCTTGAATTGGTCCTTACACAAGAATCTAGCAATTTGAGAGCTCGGCACAATATTTTTATATATCTTACAATTTCTTATCAATTATCTTTCATGACTTTCAGAAAATCTTTACAGACGCGTCTAAACTACTGTTAACCGCCACCAAGAATCATCTATACTTCGGAAAAATTAAAATTATTGTACCAAAAACATGGCTGTATAAGGAAAAGTACAAGAAGGCCATGATACCCGTATACATCAAACAGAAAATAATTATTGACAACGTTGAACAATACGGCATTGATACGCCAAGAGTAATCGGGATAACAGCATGTGGCAAGGGAGGTTTATATATGTACTTAAATTCAAAATCATTTATTCTGAAAACCGGGCGAACATCTTGGGGTTTGCATGGTATGCATCATTTACCTTTTATTAGATAATTATTACGATAATTGAAAACAGCGCAATTAAAGTAGAAACAAGACTTTTTAGACATTCTCACTGTTATTAAACGAGGTGAAAATTTAATTTGCATACAAATCTGGGAAGATGTCATTTATTTTGATGCATATATGTTGTCAAGGTGGCAAGGCTTTAATACATGCCCATTATCAGGATGTCGTGACGGTTTCTATTAAGGTTCCCTTGATTGTCGTGCTGCCTTTTTTGGCTCCTTGTCGGTGGCCCTGTCTAGCTGGGTTTTGTTGGAGGATGGTTTCAGTGAATCTTCGAATGCTATCCTTCTCTGTTTATCATATTTGTTTTCATATTTATCTTGAACTAGCTAACAAACGATTGTTCGGACCTATCCTACAATAAACATAATATGCCACAATGTTCAATTTGGCTTCCTTTACCTAGCTGTTACCTAGCTGTATTGATTTCAAACTGTCGCATAACAGCATATTTATTCAATTGATAAATATTTCACTTTAACATTACATTAAACTTATTAATAAATGTCTCCCTCTACGTTGAACTGTCTTTCTTACCTTAATCCGAATCAGCTAAATCGTTTAACTTTAATATCCCCCGTTTAGAATAAATTGGGTGCTTAATCAATGAGGAAAATTTAATTGTATATCTTCTACAAAACATATTACAATATAGGTTTACCAAAATCTCGTTTTTTCAAATAAAGAATTATCGTGGAAAGGATTTCATGAGCAATGACAACGAAAGTCACAATAACAAAATCAAATGCAGGCAGCCCGATTCATAGTCCAACGCTCCGGATGTAATACTGTTAGCGTTTCTTTTGCTTATAACCCTAGAAGCATACATAACTAAACATTGTTTTTTGACATATGTACTTGGACATTATCGGGAAGTATTTATTCTGAATATAAAATGGTAAAGAAAGAATTAAGGGGTAAAGCACTTTATACCAAGCATAAACATTGTCATAAGAACGAGAACAAATTTGAAGTTCAAACCCAAAGTACTTCTGCAGGTTTCAATAAAGGTGTGTGATTCCTGTTTTAAGTATATGTCTAATTAGATTATTCCATATTTCGTTATCTTTTTTATTGCATTACGAAACCTTATGTTATACTTTCTACGTGCTAGTGCGGTTGATAGATAATAGTATGTTGTAAAGGGTAAACAACTGGGAACATCATTTCAGTTTTCTATTCTATACATTGCGATTTGAGTTACGCATGCTAAACATACTGCAACAACGGCACGTTGTTGCGATAATGTACCCATGTCTTTTTCCCATTCATGTTATCTTTATACAAGAATATGTAAAAGCTTGAGAATTTGAGTATTCTGAAAAGTCTGATTAAGTTACATTACAGATAACGTAATTGTGCACGAGTTTGGTCATCTACGGTATGGCTTATTCGATGAGTATCCTATTCACAGTGGTAGTTCTCAATTTTACCAGTCCAAAGGGGAGTGGAAACCAACAAGGTTTGTATGTCCATGAATGAAAAGTTACCTTTAAAATTATAAAGAAATATTGACTATCAATTCTCAGTCTAGTTTAATTATATACTTTACTCAACATACATGTATATGAAGTTATCAGATCTAATTATATTAACCGTTTAAATCTATGATTTCAACGATTTCTAAATGGAGTTTTGCTGCTTCAATTTCCTGATGAAATGTTTTGTTATATCTAGATGTACAGAAGAAATTGAAGGGAAAATTGGAATTGGCAATCAATGTACGGAAAGTCCTGCATGTGATTATAAAAATACGGGGAAAATATTGGATGGTAATTGCAACTTTTGTCCCAAACAAAATCAAAATGTAGAAGCTTCGTTGATGAGTTATCAATGGATAGATTCCGTAAGACTTTTCTTTCAGTGCCAACTGGTACATGTTCGTTTTAAATTGCTTTTTATGAGTGAGACTGCACTTAACATAACTATATGCTACTTACACAATTATTTGTTATTTTGCTATCGTTCTTAAATATATTTTTTCTTATGTGAGGACATAACGCATTTTTTGTAGTCGCTTGGGAATTTGAAAACCTTCAATTGTATGACTTGGTTCATCAGGCAATCGACTGTGATTTGTTTCCCTTAACATGCCACGACTTTTCTGCTTAGTGCAGTGGTACGGGGCATGGACAGAACTTAAAATTACAAATTCTATCCAGTAACAAACTCATTAAAACTGAGCGTGCGTCCTTTAGGGCTTTCTTTAGAGATTCGTTTTTTTTTTCGTTTTTTTTTTAACTATCTACATGAACATTATCTTTTATGTGTTTTAAATGGTTTTCTGATGTACTGATTCTTTTATTCATGAGTTTCACATAAAATAGCATTGTTGTCGTTGAAAGTCGTTTTATAAATTTACTTTGATTATCTCTCTTATTTATCTAACTTTATCAATATTTTTAAATGTTACACTTCATGTGATTATTGTAGTTAAATTTTCAGTGTGTTTCCGCTCTTAATGGTTTGCATCTAATGCGTCTGATAATATTGCTTCTGCACAGCATGTGTATTAACTTTGACATTTCCTTCTGTGTTTTGGCGTTGTCTGACTAATACGGTAAAACTGTGTACCATAACCAACACCGTTTATAGACCGCTTAGTAAATCATAATAGATATAAATTATTTAATAAACTGACAAATGTAATTATCAGATTAACTGGTTATAAAAGTTTTGAGATAATAAACACAAAATGGCATGCCGGTCTGATTTCTGTATAAAGAAAATATGTTGATTAAATCAGAAAATACTTCTATCACATAAACCGCAGCGCAGGAGTGTAATAAAGCCATTTATAGTGTAATAACACTTTGACGTCACGTCATTTGCGCTGTATAGAAACATAGCGT